GGCCAGCACCCCTAAAGAGAATTCTAAGTCCCTTGAAACATGTGAAAAAGAGTTTTGCTGTGGATTCCTCTCAGGCACTGTAAAAGACAGCATCATTATGTTTGGATCTTGGAAAATTATAAGGCATGGACATGTGTTAAATAGCTTGAAAGATACTGTGACATTTCCATAGACATTGCTCAGTCTTACTGTTATCTAAATAAGCTTTAAGGATAACACACAATTGGGCACAGGATAAATGGCTAGTGGAACAAACAAGAATAGAGCTGTAGGGAGCGATAGGCAAGGTAGGAAAAGAAATGGAAGTGAAATGATCTCAATTTCAAAGTCTGCCTGAAAAGCTTAAGTAGGACTTAGAATATTTCACACGCACTAGCTGATCTGATGTTCTCCATCTGTTACCGGGCCCTGGAGGCTGACTGGCCATTAAACACAGAATGATGACTGGTACAGCAGGTGCAGTGAAGTGGGAAGGTGTGGAGCAAATAAAACAAGTCCGTGGCATCTATAAGAAAGGTTGACCCCAGGAAATTTTAAAAGGTTGTGCGCTGTGATATTCATGACGTATGTGTGAGAAGTATGATGGCAAATGTATTTCTCATGAAAGTACTTCAATTACTTGCATATTGTTATTTCTTTAGCATTCCAGGTCCTACACTACACAATTACCTAAGACTCAAAGAGAACTAGGACTTGCTTTGACAAATTACTTTTTAATGCAATTCATTGGCCCCATGTCAATGGGAGTGTTGCCGGAGCTACACCTTTTGCTAAAACAATTTTCTAAACCTACTGCTGTGTGTCAGCTATCCTCTTCCGTAAGTTTTCCTTGACACCCTTTGACATCTGTATCAAATTGAAGCTTCTTATTAGCACCTTTTAGGATTTCCAGCATTCCACTTGATGCATCTCTTTCACACATTCTCTTGGGAACCTCTGCTCAATCTCTGTGCTCAGGCCCCTGTTTACTCTCTTTTCTCTATCCTCCTGCCCCCATCCCCCATTCTTCTATTTGTCTGCAACTGCTTCCCTTAGTGCATCCAACAAGTTCTCTCTTTTTGTTGATGTAATCCCTTCTTCACAGAGTTTTTCCTTAAGTTATCTAGAAGGCTGGTGAGAAACTTACAAAGGGCAATATTCTAATGAATTCTCAGTATTCTACCAAGGGCATTTTGTTTTTTTATGTATTAAACACAAGGACACGGTATAGGAAAGAAACTTTTTTAACCTTTTTTTCTTCTCCACAGTTTCTCTTTCTGTGTTTCTGATCCTCATGCCAGGCTGGAGAGATTCTGCTCTTTTTCTCACAACCCACATCCAGTGCAACAGCAAATCCAGTTGGCTCCCCCTCCAGCATACCCTGAACCCACTGATTCCTCATGCTTCCACCTCACCTCGCTAGTCTAAGCTGCCAGTGGTCCTTCCCTGGACTCCCTACAGCCTGCTCTCCGCACAGCGCCCTGGTGATCATGCTCAGCTCATGCTACCCCCATGCTCAGAAGGTCTTGCCATCCATCTGTTTCAAAATAGAACACTTCTGACCGTCAATTGATGTTCTATACCACCTGACCCAGCTCCTTCTCTGACCTCATCTCCTACGTCGCCCCCTTCCCCATCCCACCCATTTCCCCCTCAGCTCCTTCCCATGGTCAAGTTTGCACTTGCTCTTCTTCCTGTGCCACTGTTTCTCCGGAACTTTCCATCACCACCCCCTCACTTCATTCAGGTTCATGCTCATATTTTCCTCCCCTAAGAGATGTTCCCTGACCCAGAATCTGAAACAGCACGATCATCTCCCTCTGTTCCTTTACCTGCGTCAGTCTTCTTCATAGTGTTCATCTCTGTCTCCCGTACTATTCGTTGAACTGTTTTTTAGTTATTTTTCTGCCTCCTAGCTATTGCCCTAAAAAACAACTGGAATGTAAACACAATGAGAGGATGGACTTTATTGGTTTGGTTCTCTGCTTCTACTTACTGAGCCTACAAGGCTGCCTAGGGCGTAGAAGTTGCTCTCAGTGAGTATGTGTTCAGTGAGGGAATGGAAGTTGGGAGTGTCTCATGGGCTCCTGGGCACCATTTGCTAAAATAGTTTTCAGAAAGATCAATAGCAATTTTATTTCAGGAATCTGTTGATGCGCTTCTACATCTAAAACAAATGCAGGGTGAGGGTATAAGTAATTCCACAGCATGAAGCAGTGGAAGCAGCCACTGTGGCACCCCTAAAAACAGTCAGCTTGCAAGATGCTGTGGAGGCCACATCTCCAGACCAAACCTATTCTCAGTGAGGCACTGGTGATGCTTTGAATATGCTAGGTGCTTAAGAAAGAAGCCCCAGTGAGGCTAATGTCATGGCTGATTTCTACACCTGATCAGTTTTACATGAAGGCAGCAATGCCTCTAATACAACTCACTCTCTAAAATGATGGGATTTTAGATAGATGGAATGCATAGGTGGATTCTCCTCCCACTCTACCGTATGGTAAAATATTATGCCATATCTAACATCTTGGTTGGACACTTTTCCAAAGTAAGTTTAAGTTCATAGGTCATGGGTTTCCAGACAATTGATTTGGATTGGTTGACATTTTTAGCAAAGCAAAAACAAAGATTTTCTCCATCTATTTTCCTTCGCTCAGGTTCCAAGCATCTCTGGCATGGTTTTTGACAATACTGTGCCCTAGATATGTTAACAGCACATTGCTTGAGATATCTGCTCTGAGAGCTGGAGACTGGCTTGCTTTCTAAATGTGGTGACATCTTTCAGTTAATCTTGTGTGTCCTAAAAATTCATTGGCCTTTATTAAAAATGAAGCCTCTCATTCCAGTGAGACGCTGTCCAGGCCGTGGCGGGTGAAGGAGACACGCTTCCTCCAGGTGTCAAGAGTCCCCCGGCGGAGACGGAGCGGAAAATACGACAAGGGAGGAAAACTGTAGGCATTAACTTGAGGATTTTGAATTTCAATTTCTTTGGACTCCTCATTCTAAAGAGGAAGCTAATAAATACAGACTTTGATTTCTTTGGACTTCAACTTATTTTGACTTTAACATGTAAGAAGATTTAAATTTTGTACTTTAATTTCTCCTAGGAATTTTTTAATGGACAGGATTTATATTCAAAATTGGGGCATTGCTGTATTGTTGAAATTTTATGATGGAAGTGCTTTTTTACTTTTTATTATCAGATGCCCAGTGTGTCATTTAATCTCACTGCAAAACCTCTGAGAGACTGTGTTCAGTAATATGATGGGTGTAATTTGGGATGGTAAAAAGAGAAAGGAGTGATTTTCCAGTCCTGACTGTAGTGTGGTCTTGAAATCGATTGAATTAGTGAACTATTTTCATCCATTTTGCAATCTTTTAGAGACAAAATCTAAATTGCCCACTGCTAGTCCTGAGAGGACCCACAAAGAAGGAGCAGCTGGCATTGGGAGGATGATTGAGACTTCAACTTATTTTGACTTTAACATGTGAGAGGATTTAAATTTTGTACTTTAATTTCTCCTAGGGATTTTTTAATGGAGAGAATTTATATTCAAAAGTGGGGCATCTAGACAAATGGATATGTAAAATGGGTTAAGAATATAAAGATCTGGGTGATGACATGGGAAGGTTCTTTTTTTCTAGTTCTTAATGTTAGTTTAATGCAGAGTGTATGATAGTCCTTGTCTTACTCCATTCCTCACTCCTCTTATGGGATATGAAGCACCAGTTTTGGAGAATTTCAAATGAGATTCTTGAATGAGAAAGGCATGGTTCTCTGTTCCCTGCCATTCTTCTTTGGCACTAACTCCCAGAAGAAAGTGTGTCATTTCTGTTCTGCTCATCCACGTTGCACAGTTTACAGGGCAGCTCCCACCGGTAGCACCGATGCTGTCTGGTGTTGCCTGGGAATGGGCATAGAGTCTGTCCCTTCCTGGTGTGCTCTTGTCCACAGATACACACCATATTCTCCAGTATTAACTTTGTCAGCCATAAGGTCATCTGTCATCTACCTTTCTTTCTTAACCTTTTTCTCAAATGGCCTGAGTTTGGGGGAGGAGAAAAGTATAACTGATTGTTTCATCCTTCAACTCCTAAGTCTGCGATAGCATATTTTGTTTCTTGGCTAAAAAGGAAGTCAGGATGATTTGTCAGAGCATCTCACTGAGCTCAGTGGAAAAGAAAAATATCACTCATGACTGTTATAGTCTGAAAATACACTGTAGCTAGGAAATATAGCTGTTCTAAATTTGAGGAAATGGATAACTATTTAAGAATACACTTAAGTGGTGGATTAGAATAATGTGGGAATTATTTCAGCAGTGGGGCTATCTTCACTTCTGACCTCTAGCTATGGGACTGTTTTAGCTTCCTTAACTGCCACAGCTATGCTTAATCCATTCCACTATGGCACAGAATGTTGATTTTCCACATTTCCAGCCCATTAACATCTCTCATACAACATGGGTTCTTAATCGGTGCGTACCATTTGTCAAATGCTCCTGACATCTCTGGGTTCAGGAAGCAGAGAAAGACCTTCCCAGAAAGTGGATTTGAGTTCACTCAGGCCACGTAACTCAGCCTGTATCCATACAGGGCTAAAGATATTTTATAGCTTCTTTGTGCCAGAGGGGAATGAAACAATGCCCAAAGCATGTTGGCATCTCTATTTTGGAAAATTTTAACCTGGAGAGAAGACTACAGGAAATACGCTAGGTAGATTTGAAGAGGTTTGTTGGGCCCTTGTTCCAAGATGTTCCAGAAGGCAAAGTCAGAATAAATGGGTGGAAAATACAAGCTGGAATCCTTTAGTTTAATGAAAAAATAACTTTCTATCAATTACAGCTGTCCTGCCATGAAATAGGCTGCCTTCAGTAATAGTAAACTGCCTTGGATCATCTCCTGGTGGTGTCGTCCAAAGGATTCCTACGCAGACTGCAAAATGAGACCAAGTCCAGTTGAACTCAGAATCTATGGTTCAGTGGAAGTTTTCCCATAAGCAAAACACAAGGAAATTTGAATTCAATTTTTGGAGGAGAAAAATTTAATATATTTTATCTTATTATACATTTCCCCTAAATTACAAAGTCAATAGCTGCAAATATATTCTGCTACAAAGCTTTCTGTAAGAAATATCTCTATAAGAAAATACATCTCATTAACATTTCCTGTAAATAAATTACTTCAAATAATAATTTTTGAAGGGATGTACGTAAGGGGAATAATGCAGAAACCAGATTGTGAATGTAATTGCAATATAGGAAATGTTTGACTGAAATGTTCCATTTTCATGTTGCCAAGCTTGTAGAAACCTGTTGTACAGACTTTCCTTCTTGGATAGATTAGCTTGTAATTGTTGCTTTAGCAGACATGTGGGGAAAATGTAAGTCTTAATCATCCTAGTAAATATGTGTGGGAAGCTGAAATTCTTAATAGACGTGGGCTCAGCTTCAATTTCTGCTGGGAGACCTTGAGTTTGAGACTGCAGATGGGGTCTGAGTAAAAGAAAACTAAGGAGTGACTTGCAGAATACAAAAGAAAAGGTCAAAGGTAACAACTACAAGATAACTTTTTTTTTGCTTTATGCTTTAGACGTAATATTTAGGACTGAGTAATGTAAAAAAGCAATAAAATGGTTTCAAAGAATTTGGAACCTATGGTTTCCATAGATTAGCGATATGTAGATTTTACAAGTTATTCTGTTTATATTTTTTAATCTCAATGGCTTCGGAAAACGGAAACTATATCTTTGGCAATAAAACAGTTGTTTGAGAGAGAGATTGGTGCAGCAAAATCAGGTGGTGTCATTGGCAGGTTAGAAGCTCATGAGGGCGATGGAATCTCACTCTGGGAGGTCATTCCGTGAGACCTCCTCATACTGAGATTATCTAAGGACCTCAAAAATATAAAATAAATATTTTGAGGTCAAGTGACCTCACACCGAACTCATCTGCATAGTAAATATTGTGATAGCAAATCCCATGGAAAATTTCCATTTAGGTTGGGCAGCCAGGGGCTTCAACTATGCAAAGTCGGTTTGCACGTCAGACCTATGATCTATGCGTTGCCCAAACCTGGATCCTTGACAGTCTTTCCCGTTGCCTTGCTCTGCTTCAGTGCAGAATAGACGGAACTGAAGGCTCTGTATCAGCTGTCCCTGCTGTACTGCAGAGGACGTAAAGAATGTGTGTACTCACCAGTCTAACTCTACCAAAGCATAGGGAATGCCAAAGCCTTCAAAAATAATCATCTATTAGCTCTGTTTCCCACCTATTTTGAAGATCTTAAAAATACTTGTAACCTGTGAAAATTCTGCTCTGTGCTAATCATACTTAATGGGCATAGTTTGGAAAGTAAAAGACATCCAGGGTAGGAATCACATAAAATTAAGAGAGATCCGATGTGATTCCTTTCGAATCTGAATGGACTGTTCCTGTCTTATTACACCAGTTCTTATTAATTATACGTGAAATTAAATTTTTGAAAAATGTAAATAAGCAGTTTGAGCAAGACCAAGGTTGTTTTTTGAAAGGCCTTGATAAAAGACCTGCAATTATTTTGAAAATATGTGGAAAATACTGACTGCTTTTTCTCTTGTCTAGCAAGCCCTTTAATTGAGCAGTAGACACAGTGCTCCAAGTTAAGAGGTGATTCTGTGTTGCAGATTAACTATGCTCCATGCTTTCATTTCCTAGTTAACAACTCTTCTCATGTTTTAGAGCCTATCATATGACAAGATACACTGGGAGTATTTTGTTAAACTGTAAGTTTGAATAGAAATACGGCTTTTAGATTATTTTTATGGGCCATCACCAACCTGAAGGAAACATCCTCCAGCACAAGCTAAACTTTTGGAAAGTCACACAGTATCTGTCACTAATTTCCACGCGGTGATTTTTTTCAGGAACAGCATTTTCACAAATGTGTACATTATTTACATCAACAAGTTGCATCATGGAAACACACTGGCTGTACTACGCTCGTCACCCTTTCTCATCCACTTGCTTCTCTTTTTCTTTCTCTCTTTCTGTGCTCTAGATTCGCAGCACGTTCCTTTAGCCATTCTCCTGGGATGCAAGTCCTCTTTTCCAACGTGCGATGATGCATTGAATATGCAGATTCACATTCTGCTGACGGCGCCTCTCCTTGGGGTGATCAGATTTTCTGACACACGTGGAGTCTGGCTTTGGAGGAGTAAGTGGCATCTTTCCATACTTTACACGACAGGCCCTTCGCGCAGTCACACCGCTGGAAGATTTCTAGCCCGTGAGAGCCCTTCTTGCGCTGTTTGGTACAGACCTCCCCCTGATGGAGCACAGGCTTGCAGATTTTGGTCCAGAAGTGACGAGCACAGCAAAAGCCTTCGATGCAGTCTGAGGAGCGTAGGCAGGGGTCTCCGTCATGCCCTGCGGACGTGTGACCAAAAGATATTATCATGACACTTTACAAAAAATTCTACTTTGCAACAGAAGCACATAAAATATTTTTACTTGTACTATCTTCCATGTTGTCACCATTTATAATGAAAAGTCTTGGATTCATATCAATTGGCTCTCCCTATAATCAGGTAAATCCATTGTTGTTTATTTCCATTATTAGCTGTCTGAATATGAAGTTTAATGAACAGCTAGGACTGTGCTTCTCTTTACTTTGTCACGCTCTGCTTTTAGATATTTCCCTGATCATCGTTTTTTTTTTTTTTTAACTAGGTGAGTGAAAAATAAGTAAATAAAAAGAATTGCTTTCAAATTAATTAATTTGATACTTTCTCGGAAGGTGCGAACCAGGAGAGGGCTGAAATTCTCAGCGACCCCTAAGACTGCACATCAGTCAGAGTCTAGCCAGGAAAACAGAAACTCTGAGTGTTCAAAACAGATAGTGGCAGGGCTAAGAAGTCCCAGAGGATGGTACAGCAGCACAGCAGGAAGACACGCCCACGTTTAGGCTGGGGGATCCGCAGGAGCCAGTGACGCCAGAATCCGGGGCTGGAATCACGGGCTGGGACTAGAATCCCAATGGATCCACTTGGCAGGAGCTGAAGCCCCAAGGAGATGGAGATACAGCTCTGCCAGGAGCTTTACCTGAGGCAGGGAGACTAAGTGTTGGCTGTTCCCCTCCTCTGCCTCTCAGGTTCCCACCACAGCCAAACCCATGTGGCCAGAAGCCCCCTGACAGGGAGCCTGGGAAATACAGGGTGGAGCAGAGACACAGCACACAGCCCCAGTCAACCGAGAACCCGGCAGAAAAACCTGTGGAAGCACAAATCCGGGCATTTAATTCAGAAAAAAGGATTAAGTCAGCAAAGGGCACCCAGAAAGAGGGGGTCAGCAAACTTCTCTGTCATGAGCCAAACTGTAAATATTTTAGGCTTTCTAGGCCATATGATCTGTGTCACAACTCCTCAGTTCTGCCACTATCTTGCATCTCTAGATAATGCCTAAAAGAACAGGCACATCTGTTTCACAATAAAACATTATTTACAAAAACAGACAGGTGGACAGAGTTGGCTTACAGGCCGGAGCGTCCTAACCCTGCTCTAAAAGGTTGTTTGTCCTCCCAGAGGTCACCAATCCCACTGTGTGATGTGGACACAGTTCACTCGCCATTGACATAAGATCTCTTCCTAGTTGCCATCAGAATATTGCACATACAATTATATAAAAATAATTAGTAAACTGGAAACTGTACTGTGACATAGATATCTGTTGGAATAAGGAAGGATACTCATGTACTAACAAATGTGTGTGAATCCAGTGGGTTGAAAGAGGAGACATGGATGGAGGGCTCAGCCCCTCAGGGAGTGCAGACAAGACAAAGGATCCCTGATGAGGAACTGTCAATCTCTTTACACTCTCCGTGTGAGCATCAGTATTCCAGGTTGGACTAACAGGTCAGATATTCTATAGGAACTAGCTCTGTGGAACATGAATGTGGAGAAATGGTTTTGTGGTCAAGCAAGCTGGGGAAATAAAGTTTTTAAAAATGTTAATCAATTTTCCGCCTTGCTGCTCTTCTCAAAGCCTTTAACATACCAATGTTTATTATAATGTTACAAAACTGGGGAGATGCATTATCGCAAAAGTCTTGAACACAGGGCACATTTATTCACAGAATGTCTTGAAAGAGTAGTGTTCCACGAAATACACTTGCAAAAGCCTCCTATAAAAATGGAGGTGTTTCATGCTTTCAAATTTTACTATTAGTGACCAGGCTTCCCAAATATTTTGCTACAAGGAAGGGGATTTTTATGGCCATACATAATCCCACTAGAAACCAATTATTTTTGGTAAGCTGGTTTAGGAATCCAGTTGTTTACCTGGTTGTTTAGTGAAATAAAATTTCTGAATCTGCAAAGGTGAGAAAGATACTCAAAAACTTAGTGACTTAATCACATAGCAGCGAACATTTTCCCATTTATTTTTCAGAATCCTTTATCCTTTGATCTGTGACAGAAATGCTGGTAGAGGAGATTTCTTCTAAACAGCAGGCCTGTTTAGGAAATGGCATGCTTGATCAGGTACTGCAATTCTCATAATAGATGTCTTCTAAGGATTTAAGATCTCTAAGAAACCTCTAGCATCTTCAAAATTAAGAATTAATAAATTCTGTTAAAATCTTGCCACTAAAGTATCTCACTAGTATTTTTTTTCTAAAACCAATGGAATTAATTGTCTGTATTTTTCTCTTACTTCATTATAAAACAAGAAAAAGTAAACACAGGACTACAGATAGTGCTACCTTTTATATGTGGCATCTTAGTGTGTGGTCTTCCTAGGTTCTGCCATCCCAAGTCGTGGTTTGAGTAATGACCGTGGTTTCGATCTCTGTGCCGAGTGCCATCCAGAGCCGGGATGTGAGGGGTTAAGATGCTCTCGGTGACCGGGATGCAGATGCCTGGAGATGGTCAGGTGAGCAGTTAGACTTGTTCGGTTCTATAAGGTGTGGTTCTTAGCCAAGTATTCTCCTGATGTGAGGGATGAAGCCGTCTAGCTATCATCTATCTATCCATCTATCTATCTATCTATCTATCTATCTATCTATCTATCTATCCATTCATCCATTCATTTATTTACAAATTTATTGAGACTGAGTATTGACTAGTTTGGCCCTAAGCCAGACTTCCTTGATTTGAATCTTGTCTCTTTTAAGACCAATTGGCCCTGGGCAAAAATAGGAAAAAAACTAGAATTCATTTCACTAAGTTATTGTGAATACATGTGAAGTACTTAGAATAGTGACATAGTAAAGCATGTATTAAATTAATATTAGCTATTAGTACTTTAAAACTGACCAGACATCAACCTCAGGATCCAGGTTCCTTTGTTCAGTCAATAACACAATCCTAGTCTACACCGTAAACATCCCTAATGGTACAAGTCTTCTTCCCATCACCTCCTGTACAAGGTACTTCCAGTAGGACAATGCCCAGAGGTCAGGACCAAGTATAGGAATGTGAGCCTGATTGTGTTGCTTTCTATGACTGAGTGTATGTTTCTGATCACCTTCTGCAACTATTGAACGGTTTGACCATGTGTCGTCTGGGGTTCTTCATTTCATCATTCACATTGATTGTCTGCCTGTGTTCATTGAGATTGGGTGAAGCCATGCTTATGGAAAGGCTGGGGAACGGACTCCTGTGTTTCCTTTTGGAGGAGCCAATCCCTCCATCACCAACTGAGTGTGCCACAAGGTGGAGCCTTCAAAGAAGGACGCCTGAGTCTAACAATCAAGGTGTGAAACTGGGCTGAAACTGGCAGACAGACTCACAGCTGTGCTGCTGAATCACAGCAGGTTCCTTTCTTCGGTTCTTTTGCATATATTCACTCACGTGTTTAGTGGAATAGAACATCTAGCAATTTATATGCAACACTTCAACGAGACGAATCCTAGATCAGCGCAGATTGTAAAATACAGAAGATGATCAGAGCCCAGGAAAACTAATATTTGGGAGGTGATCAAGGTAACCGAACACAAGTCTAAACCATGATCCAATCCCTGCCAGCTGTGAAATGCTCCTTACGTTCCAGGGGTCTGCCTAAGCAGAACGAGCCTACTTGCTGGCTAGGCCTCCTGCGGCCCGTCCACACCCAGCGCCATCTCACCATTGTTGCAGCGGGCACCCGGACAGCACATGCCGTCTCTGTGGCAGCGCTTCTTTTTCCTTCGACACACCATGCAGGCCGACGATCCTTGGTGGGGACTGTGGCAGTATCTCCCCACCTCACATTCCTTGTCACTGCTGCAGGGGTAGGCCTGGCACGAAAGGGAACAACATCAAAAGCAAAGATTAGACCTGGTAACGCTTAGGAAAACTACTGCAGCAAACCACGATGGAAAATAAATCACAGTGTGTCCTCTCCAAAGGAAAGACACCATTGCAATAATGCTCCACGTAGTGACACTGACATAAGTGAGGACCGTATAAATATAAACTGTCGATGGTTACAAAGATAAAGTTGACACTATTCACATATTTTCATGGACACACTTTGAAGTTAGGATTTAGACTTTGCATTATTGGGAGGCTCAGAAACAGTCGTAGTTGTTGTCTTGTCACTGATTTAAGGTGTAAATGAACAGCCCAGCCATTCTGTTGTTCATCTGCTAAACTAGGATGAAGGAAGGTTAAACAAAACCACAAAGGCCGTGCCAGAAGCTAAAACACATCTCCTGCCCAATTATGGAACAAATATTTTAAGAGTGACTCTTCACAATTCCTGCCTCTGAGGAGCAAGGAGGGGAACCACTTCCAGAACGGTTTGAGGCAATGAACTATTTGGCATGAAGAAATCAAGGAGCGGAGTCCTTGTTCCAAACTCGGCGATGAGCAGCAGCAGAGTTCTGAGTGGCCAGAGAGATGCTGAGGTCCAATCACATGGTCATGTTCTCAGGAGACAAAAAAGCAGACTCCTTGAGTACAAAAATAGCCCAACAGGCTGTCGCATCTTCAATTTACACAGAAGGGACTTCCTTTGATACAATTCTCTACCAGGTGTACGTTCAGAAGGCTACGTACGTGTGTCATACATTATCTCCAAAAATAAGAGTATATTCTCTAGTTTTGTACTCCTTGCCTCTTGGAAGTTATTGGAACACTTAAAATGCCCCTGTTTTCAGAGACTGAGAACTGAACTGCTGAAATGTCACACATCAAACATAATCCGATTTTGAGGCACGTTGACAGGGATACTTATTTGTGAGTCTTTTATTTTGCCTTCTATAGTTCCTTTTTTCCCCCTGACTTTCAGAGTAATGCATGGTTATCTATTTAATCAAAATATACAAAAAATAAAAAGAAGTTATGTAGTTGTTTTTAAGCAAGCAAAAATGATGTGAAGATAAAACTATGTGATAAATTTTTGTGACTCAAATCATTAGTGTGGTTTGAGTGTTTTACTCTTGAAATGAGGTTTGCGGGCCTGTGTGAGCACCGATTGTTCCTTCCCCTTTTCTTTCTCCCTTTCTGTTTCTTCCACTGCCCTTGCCTTCCCTCCCCCCATATGTTGTACACATTCAGCCCTCACGTGTTTTCCATTTAGATCTGATCATCTTCATTTAGAAAGGGGAAATAAATATGAAGTTGATGTATGAGTCTGAAAACTTTACATGCTGTTCTATGGGAAAAAATATACTTTCAGCATCGTTACAGAAAGAAAATAGAAAAACCACAGACTTCACATTGAAAGTGCTTTTGAAGGATTGCACAGTGGCGATGTTTAATGCCTGCATTATAATTGGAGCCAGATAAAGCTATAAAGTGAATTTTCATATTATCCTCTCATTCTGGACCTCCATCATTAGGTTTAAGAGAAAATGAGGTTGAATTCAGAGTATTAGGCTGTTTTTCAAGAATCCAAGACTGATGAAAACATGTCCCGCCTTGCCATACTCCTTCCCCCAAGCACTTCACTCTTTTCATATTTAAACCCATTAATTTTGAATGAAATACAATTCACATGTTTCTGATTCATTAACATTTATTTCATCGAATTGTTTTGCAAGAAACATTTGATGTCTTACAAGTTTTTTTGCTTCCTCAAAAATAGAACAAGTTCTTTCAATGGAAATAAACACGTGCCACCTAAAACATCATGTGCAATTTACAACTCAGACAACAAATCTTCAAGGATTCTGAATATAGAATGATACTTTATTCCATTCCTAAAAAAAGTGGTTTATAGGCTAGAAAGTAAGTTCTTTGCTAAAAGCAGCAGTTCATTTATGCGGAAAATTGTGGAAGGCACATCATCATCTTCCCATTCTCAGTTGGTGGGAAATGGAAAATATTGAAATGGAAAATACTTGAAATGGGAAATATTTGATGCAGATGTTATCACAACAAGTAATATGTGCAGTAGTCCTTTATTTGAATGGAATATGATAAAATTCTCAATTTTTTCAGAGGGAAGCTCATTTGTCTAAGAGAGAAAATATAAGAGAGGATGTGTATTGTGGAGTTTTATTATGCTCCAACATATCTTTCAATTGGCTTAGAATAGAAATGATACAAGCAGAAAAAGTATGCAGGAAATATTTTTTAACGGAAGGTTATTGTTAATGTGAACTTGTACTTCGAATGGAATCCCACAACATAATATTAAGAGGAATTCTTGGACAATTAAAAAAATAAATTTTAATAATTGAAATGCAAAGTTATACTACACTGCTTCTAGTATGCTTATGAAACACTTGGCTCCAATAAACAGCCTTTATATATTAATAAAATCAACAAAGGATGAGACAAATTGATGGAAGCAGGTTTTAGGGAAAGCAAGAGATATTCGGGGGCATGCCTCGCCTTCTGAAATCGATGTCCCCCAGCAAGGAACTACTCAGCCAGAAAACTTCCCTTGGCACAACCATTAGCAAGGAAACAGAGAACATAAGAAAATATGGGTCTGACCCACAAATAGCAATTCTAGTGTTTTCAGCCTAATGCAATATTTTTCAGTAAAGAGTTTTAAACGAGGCATTTTCAACTCAAGTGTGAGGGCTCTGGGGCTTGGTATTGGGTTTTTTCCTACATTAACTCCTTTAACGTTTCTGGAAATGGTCTCATAGTAGATGAGAAAGGGAGAGAGCCAGTGATGGGAGCGAGAGAGAGGGAGAGAGAGAGAGAAAGAGAGAGAGAAGTACTTGGTTAAATAGTTATGGAGGATCCTGAAGAAGTGATGATGTGGCAATTAACAGACCATTGAAGGGAATTATACACATTAATAAAAGTGCCATCCAGAAACTGTCCCATGGAAGACCTTTATTTTCCATTTACTCTGGCCTCCAAAGGCTATTCCTGATCCCATCTGATGACGGTTTTGTGAGAAACAAAAAGTGAATTTGAGTACCAGAGTCTAAGTTTCCGTCTAACACACACAATGATACGTTTCCCTGGTACTTATTTTATAAACCAATAAGAAGACTGATTTTTTTTTACTTGCTATGGAAATGATTAATTGTGCATTTTGATGGCTCTTCACTGACTTGGCTCCAGGCGAATAGTCTGAGGAACAGCGATAGTCTGTGTGGAAGCCTGGGAGTGAAGGGAAACCACCAGGGAGAGACCCTAGTACCCAGCCCGCCCTGAAATGCCCCCAAACGGAACCAGAAACCCAGCTGCATGAGCATCCTGGGCTCCTCGCCTTCGTGCAGTCACAGCTAGGAGATGAATTCATCTGAGACATGAAATAACAGCAGACGATGGGCCATAAGTTAAGAATATGTGAGAGCCATCCATGATCAGGCCGAAAAACAAAGAAGTTGTGCCCAATCCCTTCTAGGCTAAAAATAGAGTGATTTCCATGAATAGCAGCGCCAGTTATCATTACAACCATGACGCGAACTAAAAAAAGAGTGAACACATTGGACACAGCTTGAAAATAAAGTCTATCAGAAGTTAGCATTTCTTTTTAGTATAAAGGATTTTTTTTTTAAGTCCATTTACTCTGTCCTAATTTGGAATCATTATTTAAAATTTTAGCAGCGAAGTGAAGAGAGGTTAAGTAACTTCTGCAAATAAGTCACATGTGCCCAGCGGCAGAGGACTCGGGGATCCGGAGCCCCGGCTGGCTCCCAGGCCTCTCTACGAGGTGTTGAGGAGCATGTAAGAGTGACGGTAACGCACTCACAGGGAAGGTGACTGCGTCGTGACCTCCGTACTGATTATAGAGATTAGAAAAATAAACTTGGCCTCTTCTCTTTCTGGAAGCCTCCAACTACCAGCAGCACGTCCTGCTGCAGCCACTGGAAGGACAGACGCCAGCAGAAAACACTGACAAGACTGAAAACAGCATTTTCTCATTCAGTTTCTGGACCACACTTCTATGTCCACTTCAACTCAGTGTAGCCAGAGTTATAAGCAAAAGTCCATCATGAAAATCATGATAATTAAATAATATTCTCGTGAACAAAATAAAAGGAAATGTTATTGCATCTTATAGGAACTGAGTCTTTTTATTTTTTCAATTATTCTCAAAACTGCAGGGAGAAAAGACCCATTAATTCGAGACTTAGATTTAGGGTAGAATTATTCTTTTTTTTTCAGTTGCTGCCCATGCCTTTGAACACGCAAATGCAACCATGAAGTAATTAGATTCCTAAGAGTAAAGAAAGGAGAAAAAGTGTTTCTTGTACTGACTGCTGAATAGACCTTTGGCCACACTAAATCCTTAGTTTAACTCCCAAGTTTTCAAAATAATGACATCGTTCCTGTTTAATGATGGGGCGAGCGGAAGTGGGGGGCAGAAGAGGGAAATGCCCCAAAGTGTTCATGTGGGATGGCCACCCATCCGGATTCTTGCAAGACCAGGCTGGTTTTGTTGTTGTTGTTTTAATAGGGACAATCCTTTGTCCCCGCCAGCACTGTTTGTAACGATCTCAGAAGGTTTCTGGAGCCAAAAAAACGTCATCAACTGGGTGGGCAGGAGAAAGCCTGCAGGGGGAGGACCCAGCTGTGGGAATGGAAAACATTTGGAGGGAGTGGACAGAGGGAGGTGGCAGCTAAGGGCTGGGGACTGGAACATGTCCGGGGTCTCAGAGAGAGCACAGCAGAAGGTTGGCAATTACATGTGGGAAACCAGATCAGACTGGCTTCTCCTGTGTCCCCAGAGAAAAGATTAATTTCCCTCGTCATGACATTCCACACGACAGATCTATATTCTGATGAACATGCGAGGCATGCTACCCTTTCAGGTGGTTGTTTCAAAATCATACACTAAAACTGCAACTGTGGGAGGTGTGGGGACACAGAACTCAGTCTG